GTTTCGGTTGTAACAATGCAAGGCCTGGTGATGGTAGAAAATTGGTCCCTAATTTGTAATGAAAAGACTAGAACCCACGAGTTTCATTGAGATGAAAGTGTTAGAAAAAATTGTATTAGTTAGTTATGGGGTTCAACTATGATATGGAAAAGATATGATATCTGAAATATTTTTAACCAATCAAATGGAATCATAAACGTGGTAGCCAATGAGGTGTTATTTATCAAAATTCATGGGTGGGTTTTGATTGGTCAAAACTCTTTCGATACCATATCTTTCCCGCATAATAGATTTTCCCTTAGTTATGAGGCTTCAAACCTCAAGCTATGCAAATTAGGCTGATTAGAGCGAAATCAAAACTCATTCCAAGATCTATAGAAATATTCACAAGTGGATAGGAGTTCATGGCTTGGATAACCACCTTTATTGAAGCACGATGATGGAGAGTTGGGAGGCTAGGGGAAGAAGAAGACGATGTAGCCAGGAGCTGGTCTCGAGGCAACCTTGGGGAAAAGTTTCAAAAATATGGGAAATGAGGGGTTTGGCAAATGGAAAGACATGACCCAGTTTCCTTCTATTGATGGTAATATAAAGAAGCAAATGAATCTTTGCAAAACTAAAACATATGCGCAGGTGGTTACATATTCAAGTGGTGAAAGCAAGGAAATTTCAAATTTAAACAGGTGTTGTATGCAAGGGTCAGATGGGAGTAAAGAAGAAAGAGCACTAATTAGGCCTTTGATTGGATAGGCCTAAGATCGAGTTTGAGTTATAAATAACAGTGGCTTGAGTTACGTTAAAACTAGTCTATTGGGCCCAACCCCAAAAGTTAGAACATGTGATAACTTAAGTGATCATGTGAGGAAGGAGAGTCATGAGTTAGGAGACCATAACGTTGGTGTATCATCTTCTAACATCAATGCTCTCTCAACTACTTAGAAGAAGACTACAATATCTAAGATGATGCTCGCACGGGCTCCAAGACTATTTTCGTATTCAACCAATCTGGAGAAACCAAACCCTAGGTATAATAGAAGCAAAGATAGGGAACAATAACTAGATTCTGGGTGGATAAGTTTGGATGAGGAGATATTTGAAGGGGAGGAGAGCATTGGAGCTTCCATTTAGGGTAGTATCCAAAGTAAATGCCATTCTTGGTTAGGAGAGGATGAATTCAATGCCTTGAAACTAATTTTGATGAGGAGAAACCTACCCCATAAGTTGGATATTCAATTCAAACTTGTAAAGGTATGGGAAGAGATGATACTAGTTTAGGTGAGGTAAAAACCAAGATAGAGAGTAGGGGAGAATCTCATCCAAACCAAGACCATTTATAGGATATGCAAAGATCCTCTGATGCCAACCCAATATTTAGAAGCATAGATACACATCACATAGTATCCCCACATAATACTTTGGGGGATAGTTTTGAAAGTGCTACTTTCGGCATAAGCCCAAGTGGCAGAGGTGAGAATATATCAAACTCTCTGGACTATCCTTACCCCCTACAAGGTAATGTTCTTGATTTGATTTTTGTAAATACTAATATCTCTTCCAATCCTTTGTGTGTCGTGTTCACATGTGAGACTAGCCCAACCATGCAGTCTGCTACTTCATGTGATAAGGTGCAAGAAACACATGTTGATGGGTTGTTAGTTGAACAAGAGTATAAGGAGCTTGGAAACAGCATTTGGGAGGTCATTTTGGAGTTGGTTAGACTTGGTGTGGAAGAGGAACAAACGGGTTAGATAGAGAGAGTTGAGGAGAGTGACACTGTGAATCTAAGACGAGGGAGAAGTTGGAGAAAGCAGGAAAAGTAACCATCTCTTTAGAAAAAGGAAAGGGGGAAGAAAGAGAAAAGTCTTAATAAGAAAATAGAGGGGAAAGCAAAACCAGTAGGGTTTAGGAAGAGGGGAGAAGAGATTGTAAAGAAGAGAAAAAAGAAACTTAGTGAGGTGGAAAGACTCAAATGTGAGGTGGATTATGATAAGGAGAGCATGGGTAGAAGGGAGAGGAAGAAATTGCGAGAAGGTCTTCTGGAAGGGTTTGTTTTTGAATTGTGACTATGAAGTTATTAAGCTGGAATGTAAGAGGTTTGGGGAGTTCACGAAAGAGAGGAGTGATCAGGGATATGTTGAAGAGAGAAAAGCTAGACATAGTGTTAATTTTATAATCTAAGCTACCTGAGGTAGACAGGAGGTGGGTGCAGAGTATTTGGTCAGCTAGGGATTTGAGTTAGGCCTATGCACAATCTTGGGGAGCTTTTGGGGGAATTATTATACTATGGAAAAATGTAGAGGTGGAATGTGGTAAGGAGTTAATTGGAAAATACTTGGTATCCTTAAAGTTGAAAAGAAAGATTGATGGTTGGGAATGGGTTTTAACTAATGTTTATGGTCCTACCTCTTATGGGAAAGGGAGGGTTTATGGGAGGAACTTACATCCAATAGAGGACTTTGGAAGGGCCCTTTGGTGCTTAGGTGGGGATTTTAATGTAATTTGATTTTTTATTGAAACAAAAAATTTGAGTGATCAGATAACCTCTAGTATGAGAAAATTCAATCCATTTGTAGAGACATTTGAGTTGAGGACCCACTTTTTCAACAGACAAACTTTATTTGGTCAAATTTTCAAGAATTCCCTACTTGTTGCAAACTTGATAGATTTCTATTCACTACTGATTGGGAAATGGAATGAAGGAGATTAGTTGTCATAGCATTGCCAAGGCCTGTTTTAGACCATTGTCCAATTAGCTTATCCCAAGAAGGGTGGGAGGTGGCCCTTGTCATTTCAGATTTGAGAATATGTGGCTACTACACCCGGATATCATACTTAAGGTAAAAGATTGGTAGAAGGAGGACCAAGTGGATTTTAGGTGGAAGGGGTTTCATTTCTACAAGACGTTACAATTGTTGAAAAAAAAGATCACCTGGAGACAAAAATCTAGATGCAAATGGCTCAGGGAAGGGGATAGAAACACCAATTTCTTTCATTTGTTAGCCAATGGTAGAAGAAGGAAAAATGTTGTCTTAAAGTTGGAATGGAATGGACAAATTTTTACAAGGGATGAGGAGATAGCACAAGCTTTTGTAAACCATTTCAAGACACTTTATGCTTGTCTAAGAAGTTCAAGAAAAATTTTAGGGGGACTTGGAGTGGAGGTTAGGAAATAAAGAGTTGTTGGACAGTTTGGAAAAAAAAAAAAAACTTTGAACGAGTAGAAGTGAACCATGCAATTTTCTCAAAAGGGGTTGGTGTGCAAGTTGGATTTAAAAAAGGCTTATGATATTGTTGATTGGGATTTCCTTTTAGAGGTCCTCACTCATAGGGGTTTTGGTGAAAGATTGTGTAGATGGGTAAAGGGATGTATTTCTTCCTGTCACTTCTCCATCTTGGTGAATGGAGTAGCTAGGGACTTTTTTCTAGCTAAAATGGGTCTTACACAAGGAGATCCCCTCTCCCCCTTCTAATTTACTTTAGTGGTTGATGTACTGAGTGAGATCTAGATTGCACCCCTAGTGAGGACCCCTAGTGAGGACCATTACGTGAGCAGGAAATCTAGATTTCAAACCCATATTCTACTCCTTCAACCATCCCTATTGAATTTCTCCAAAATGAAGTGTTTTAAACCCTCCTACCAAATTGCATAATCTCAAACTTGATCTTTGAGGTTGGTTAGATGAATCTTATTTTGGCATATTGTTTTAATGGACGCACTATTGTAGTCAGTCGCCTCACAAGTCTATCTCTATCATAGCCTCATCTATTTGACACTACGCTTGGGTTTAGGCGTATTTAAAAACTTTTAGGCTTAGTTTTTTAGAAGTATAAATACATATATGTAGTGCAAAATAGACAAATAGACCTGGTCATGGGCTGGGATCCAACTTAGCTTTTGTCGTAATTTGAATGGACCCAGCTAGAAGCCCAGCCCATGATCAGGTCTAGAGACAAACGGACCGTGGATTTGATCAAACACAGATTATTAAAGGCACATTTGCCACTTTTTATTACTATAATTCTAAATCTACAAATGCATCACCAGCCTAAGTCCCAAACCAGATGGAAATCATCACCTTTGGCCTTCTCCGCGTAATTGTCTTTGTGATTTCTTTGTAATTGACAGGCTTTTACCCCTGCCATTGCATCCTAACTCCAATTGATGAATTCATAAATGCCTTTGGTAGTGAATGTAAATCCTTCAGTTTTGCAACTTTTCTTCTGTTGTTTGCGTGTTTGGTGGTACCATCTTGTGTCATTATTTATATATAGATTTGTTATGGCAATATCATCCTCAATCTAAGCCCTTAGAAGTGTCAATAACATTCAAAAATCCGATTTGAAATTTGATATTCAACATAATCGAATCGAATTCAGATAATCCAAATATCTAACCGGTCAAATTCGGATATCCTATTCTTACCCAATAATTCATCAGATTCGAATTCAAATATAACTTGATTCAATTTGATAAATATCCGAATTCGACTGATTATTTAATTCTTATATATAATATATAAAATATTATATATATAATAATTAAATTATATAAATAATTTATATATTATATACTTTATATCAATAAAATATTTATTTTATATATTTATTAGTTATCTAAAATAATTAATTAATCAAATTCGAATCAAATGGAATGGAATCTTTAAATATTTAATCAAACTCAAATTCAAATATTAATTTTTAATATCCGTCAAATAACAAATCAAATTCGAATATTAGATTTTCTAATCAGATTCAAATTCAGATATTGCCTGATCTAATTCAAATTCAATCCGTTTACACCTCTATAATCCTTACCCCAAATATATGGGGTAAATAGTGCCATATCCATTGTTTAACATTTCATGGAAACATTGTTTCCCTTAACCAAAGCATATCCACTAGATGGTCAGGCTTAAATTAGCTAGGGTAATGTTTATCCCCATTCCTATGATATGATATGGTAGCATAAAAATGCCTAGATATGAGCCCACACTGAGAAGTGTCTTAATTGTCTTAATTGAGCATAAATTGACTTTTAGTATTTATTAACATGGGAAGAATATATGGATGTTAACACAATTAATAGGGTGGACAATAAGGCCACAGTAAAGGTAACAAGAGATACAACTTTGACATGCTTCTCATTTCCAGAAGGTATTCTCCAAACAATTGTGCTAGTCTTGAGTTGAGTGCTCTCATCTATTAACAACCATAAACAATCCTGTTGTTGCAGTGGTTCATTCACGCTACAATGCACGAACAAGTTTGGTTTATTGATCTCAACTTCTGAATAACCACTTCCATCAAGGGGCTGCAAGAAAAAAAAAATAAAAAATAGAACCATAACACATCTTTTAACTTATACGAGACAAACAAAACTGAAACAAATACAAATACAACCAACAAAATTGTACTCAGAGAAGAAATTTTAAATGATTGCATGGATCGACATTATCTTGCCTTACATGTCTTTAAGGAAATAATACATAACATATTTCAAAAGACCATAACTTCTCAATAATTATTTTTTATATTAACGATATGGTGGATGGTACTTTTAATGTGAATTATCATTTATTCATTTTTACAGACTAATAAAGTATAGGTGGATTGAGGATGCTGAGATAAATGATTTGAAAGACGGTTAGGAAAGCCAAAAATTAAAATGAGTCGCATATTCTTGATAAAGAACAGTTGATTCATGCAAACAAATTAGAAATTAGGGATCAACTAGAATTCTCATGCAAGCAAATTTCTCCTTGATTCATGCAATTTTATCAGTATGCATGCTTCCAGAAAATATCAGATAACATGGAAATTAGAAATTAGGGACTCTAGACCATCAAAGAGTATTGGTTATTAGTATAACCGTCCAGTTTTTTTTCTTTAATCAGTAGTTACATTCTTTGGATTAGTTGCATATTACCTATTGGCTGGAAAATTGATTCCATTATTTATCTAGTGATGTGAACTCTTAGCATATCAAGATATGATAATTTTATTTCCTACTCATATGTGAGATTCAAACTTACAGGATATCGTGCATGTAATGGGAGCTCCAATTTAATTTCTACCCCTTCCTTATTAGTTGCTAAAAAATTGTTACCAATATCCACATGAACCTCAACAATTGATCGGTTGGATAAGACTGAAGGTAATTCCAGATTAGTGTCTCCAAAAACAGCGGCATCAACAAACACTGCAACAAACATTTCAACTAAAATCTTGACATGACAAAACTCAAAGATCTTGCTCCAAGAATAAAGGGAAGTCCATTACCACCACGTTCAATAAGATGTTGTAGCTCAAATGGGTCCGCAAAGATTCCATGAGGTAATCTTTCAATAATTATAGCCTCACAAAAGTGTGCAGGTAGCTCAAATGTAGCCTCTGACAGAACATTAAATTTTAAGAAGGAAAATAGATGACGATGAGAACCTTCTCCAATCAAGTTTCGATGCAGGACTGACATTCTAAGCAAAGAATTCAGATTTTGTTGAATTACTTCACAGGTGGCAGGGTGAAGTTCATGTACAAAGAAAGCTTGGATATCTGAATCCATGAGGCTATCATGTTTCTCAAAGTAAGATTCCATAAGAAATTTCCATGAGCATGGCGCAGAGACACGTTTAGGGTGGTTGTCATAATCAGAATCCAAATTACACTTGCCTACCTGAAATTAATATGCATAGGGGAGAACAAGGCATAAGAGATAGAAAATAAAGACACTAATAAAGTAACAGTTAGGCCTAAAATTATGTAAGATGACAAAGAGAAAAATGATAAGCATTGCAACACTGGAGGCTTTTGGACAATTTAGGGGTGTTTTTTTTCCTGGTGATGAATTAAAGCTAACACAAAATTACACATACTTGTGATTCCATTGTGTAGATTGTAAAGATGGCCTACCAATATATTAGCAGCTGTCATGCCATAAGAGACATGTAATGGTAGGGATTGTATGGGTGATATACTAAGTTAGAGTTTGGAATATGCAAATTTGGTTTACTTTTTTCAAGAATTCCCTTTAATTGCATTTTCTGGAGGTTTTTGCCTGTAATTTGTGACGGAAAAACATAATAATCTGAATGCATAGGAAAAAAGACAAGAAATATTGGACTAAGCAATCTAAAGCTTACTATTTGTTGGATGTTAAGAGGGTTGAAAAAAGATGAGACTTAAGGAATCACAATTGCTGGAAAATTCAGCTAGTTAAAGTGTTTCAACTGGGTGATGAAGGGAATGGCTTGGCTAACAGAGACTGAAACTTTGGGGTGTGGGATTGAAAGATCACAAACAAGGGCTTAACATTAGCTTTTTGAACAATTCAACCAGGGTGTTCAAATTCGATTGATAAACAAAAAATCGAACCAAACCAAACTGAACCGAATAAGCTAGTTCAGTTTGGTTAATTCTGGCATTGGTTCAGTTCAGTTTTTGTTTTTTATAGAAATTTGGTTTAGGTTCAGTTTGGCTGAGATTTTTAACCAAACCAAAATGAAAACCGAATTACTGTTATTATTTAATTAAGTATATTAAATATTTGTTGTTCTATTTAATACTTTATGGTAATTAATTATTATATTTCCTAATGGTCAACTTGGCAATTCCCCATTGGTTGTTAGGCCCACTCTAACTTTTAATTAATAATAGTTAATTAAAACCTAAGCTAGTTATTAATTGTTTGTGAATAATGGTCAATTTGCTAATTCTCCATTGGCATAGGGCTTTGGGCCTATTCTAGATTTTAATTAATAATAGCTAAATAATTAAAGCCAATGGGCTTTGGCGCCATTCTAACTTTTAATTAATAACACTTATTAATCAAAATCATTATTTATCATTTATGTGGAATGAGGGCCCAACCGAATTTGGTTAGGGTTGGTTTGGTTCTGAGCTCTAGTTCGGTTTGGTTCGATTGGAGAAAATGGTCAAACTGAATAGTCGATTAGGCCTTTGGTTCTAACTCAACCAACAGATTGTACACCCCTAGATTCAACCATGCAAACAACAATAAAGAACATTTGGAGACTTGTGCAAAAGAACCATAACCAAAATTACGGCTTCACTCCAAGAACTAAAAATCAAATCAAGAACATAGAGTAGAGACTTAAGAGGTTTAATATCTACTTGAATAAGTATCAGTCTTGCTTTTTTTTTAACAAATTAATAGATTTATTAACAAGAGATTAAAGCAGTTACAAGCCACACCCTTGAGACCAAAATCTGAAAATTGAACTAAAAAATTGGGTATTACAACTCAGACACAAAGAAACCAGTGTTGATCCTCAAGCCAGGATTTCTAGACATTAGAATAAGTATCAGTGTTGATCTGTCTTAAGCATATACTTAGTTGACATTGCACCCCTCAGAACAACAAACTAGGAATCATGTCAAAGCACCAAAAGAAAGACTTCAGAATGGCATCCTTAATTATTGAAATAACTAGTTTCATTTGACATCAAAATGTGGTTAGGGGGTAGCTAGGCTGAATCTAGTCTACCAATATGGGGCATAGGGCACATCTTTAGAATATTGTAAATTTGTAACCACTCTCCCATTCTTTCTTCCAATTTCTAATAAAAAAAGAAACACTACTCCACACTTACAAGCTAATGGAGCTGGACAACCAGACAACAAGAGGCTTTAGGGCTGAGATATATTTCAGATTTCTAAAAAGAGAAAGAAAGTGAATAATGAAAGAAAAAGACCCAAGCAATAAACATTAATTGAGTATTTGAACTTAAAATAGACTAAATAAAACCAAGTTGTACTACTTAGACAAGGTTCGGAATAAGAATTTCTGAAAATGAATAAGAATCACCAAAAATTAGTGCCAAGAGAAGCATTAATAATTAAAAAGTAGCATGATTTAAAAAAAGCATTATCATACCTAGAGGAGATTGATGCTATGATCACTTTCCATACAGGACACATATTAGATTCCTTAGTCATCTACATTTTTTTTATTCCAAGCAATTTGACAGTGTGCTACACAACAGGGTAGCCCATCCCCCATCCCATTAAAACTATCCCAACCTTGGAGGCAACGGAAATAGATCCCGGGTCTCTGCTGCAACAAAGTAGAGAATGTACGAATTGGGGTGCCAATCAGTTGGTATAGTCATCTAAATCCATTAGCCACAATACTAGAAATCATTGCTTTCAACTTCTCCTTGATAATGGTTGGACAGGTTAACACCAGATAATGAACCTGCTCCTATGTTTTTTATGGTTTTGATCATTTTACTGGGCAAACGATTTAGTCCCATACCCAACCAGCTTTCTGGGCTATGTTTGGAATGGTTTTTAAACATTACTGGAAGTTATCCTTAATCTTCTAATCTAATTGTTTTCTTCTAGAGAAAAACCTGGTATGTGGAGCTTAGAACTGCTAAAGTTAATCCTTAAACACTGATATAGTCTGATATGTTGATACTAGAGTAACTGATAATTTTATCATTACCATAAGAAATCTTATCTTAAGATTAGGGAATCAAATAAACAGAACGTAGTTGATCACTATGAAAAATATGTAGTCAATGCATAGAAAGAAATGCCATGAACAAGGTAACTGAAATAATCCAAGTAACTGCCAGATAAAAGGAAAAACATTAAATGGAAAGAAATAAAGGAAAATCTGTAACTGACCTCACTTGAAAACGAAGAACTATGAACAAAGGCTGCAGTGCCAGCTAGAAGCATGAAGGACTGAATGCTGATAATCGAATAAATATAAACTCGAACATGGTACTGGGTTTCCATGAAGTGCCTTAAACACCAAATAAAAAGGGCAATTTAATGGCACTAATTCTGAAAAATGAAAGTTCTTTTGGGCAAGATTAAGTCTTTCTGATTGTTAATTAAAATAAGAAAGGGCATTCATGGGTGCAAAAGCCCTTCCATCCTGAACCTCCACCCATCCTCGGTAATGATTTACTTAAACATTCACTATCCGTGTCCATCTCTTTCCGCCATTTTCGCTCACCAACAGTTTCTCAGTCATCACCATGCGATACAACTGTGATAACGATGTCCCTTTGAACGAGATTTGTTGGGGGAGAGAGAACCTTCTTTAGCTGAGGTGATTTGTTGGGGGAGAGAGAACCTTCTTTAGCTGAGGTGATTGTAGCTTTGCAAATCACCGTCGGAAAATTTCATATGAATATATACAAAGAAAACAATCAAGCCAAACAGGCCCTATGTGGGCCCATTTATGGTCCAAGAACTCTCTAGTGGAGTCACCGGTCTGTGAGTATTGAAAAACGGCTCACTTGGGCTGATTGGAGTCGCCACCCATCAGTTTAAGAAGTGGAGGTGATGGGACCTCTGGGAATTGCATTAAAACTAATTTTCATTCATAGCGAGTCCAGTAGCCCAAGGCACTAACTAAACCAATCCGGGAAAGACTTGGATGGAAGAGGGAAGGGATTAGACACCCTTCTCCCGGGTCCAATTGTTGGAGCCCACATGGGATCCCAAACAAGCACAATCACGAACATATAATCATTTTATTAACTAAAGGCATCAATAACATAGGAAGACAAAACCAGTTAAGAACAAATTGACATAAGAGAATTCCCCTAATTATTATTATATATTATTTTTTATTTTTACAATACTTTTATTTTTATTTATTATTTTTTTATCATTTGTTTGTGTTCCCTCTTATGGAACCCAATTTATATAGTCATTTTAAGGGATTACTTTTATTTATTTATTTTTTTTTATTTTCTAACTTTTTGATTTTATATATTTTTGATTTTTGAATTTTTTATTATTGTTTCTCCTTTTACTAGCTTATTTTCCTTGTTTCATTTTTGCCTAATTTTTATTGTGCTATTTATTTCTCCTTCTACTTGATATTTTTTACTTGACCTATTCATGGGCCAGGTAGCCCGGCGGGCTGGCTTGGCCCAACCTATCCCCCGGACGGGCTTGAACAAGATTTTTAGCCCGTGAGCTTGACCTCGGGCCTAAAAGCCCGACTCAATTTATTTCCAGGCCGGGCGCTGGATTTATCAAAAAAGCCCGGCCCGACTTTTATATCCCCTTTAAACCCTAATAATCCTAAATCGACTAACCTTTCTCATTTCTCACTCATCTCATTCTCACCCTCAAGTTTCAGCTTCTCAAGAACCGACGAACCCTCTCAGAGGCAAACTCAGCACCGGTGCCACCAATGAACTCCGACAGTGAGCTCTCTCTCTCTCTCTCTTCTCAATGTTCTCAATCTCACTAGTGAACACCAACGCAACCAGTGAACTCCGACGGTGAGTTCTCTCTCTCTCTCCCTGTTCCATCTTCTCACTTCTCAATGTTCTCAATCTCACTAGTGAACACCAACGCAACCAGTGAACTCCGACGGTGAGTTCTCTCTCTCTCTCCCTGTTCCATCTTCTCACTTCTCAATGTTCTCAATCTCACTAGTGAACTCCGGCAAACTCATTCTCACTGCCGAACTCAGGTGAACTCACGATGCAATCTTTAATAAAAGTGAAAAAAAATCAATCTTTTTGTTAGGTTGGGCTTCGGGCTTGGGCCCGGGCTTCGAGCTTTTTATGAGGGTTGGGCTCAGGCCCAAGTTGTAGGCCCGTTGGGCAAGCCGAGCTCAGGCTTGGGCCTAAAAAAATCCTGTTAATGAGGAGTAAAAGCCCAGCCCGAGCCCGGCCCATGAACAGGTCTATTTTTCCAATTTTTTTTATTTTTTTATATTTTTATGTTTAAGCTATTCTACCCCTCTAGGTCCCTCAATTTTCGCAGCCCAAACCTGCAAGCACAGAGACGACCCCTACTCTAATATTCCATCTTCGTCATCCCTCTATTCCCTTTTCTTTATTTTATCTATATTTTGGAAATAAGAAACAATTATCTAAACCTCATCAATTGTCCACCTGTTTCAGGTTCAATCTTCAAATCAGCATAAACATGATTCGAATTAAGTTAACAAGACTACTATCTAATTAGTAAAAAAGCAACCGACCATGGAAAAACTAAGAACCACAGTAGACTCAAAGGAATTAACGCAGTGAGAGAGATGATGACGAGATCGGGTTAGTCGAGAATTCACAGGAACAGGCTCGATTGAACCTCATCGCCAATTCCATCAGTTCTTCCCTAGATTTCGATTATCCAATCAGCAAAGGATGAAAAATGAGGTGAAACAAGAGGCATACAAACTAAAAAAAAAAAACGTAAATAGTACTCACCTAAGGGGATTTTCGCCTTAATGGGGAGACTAGAGTCTGTTGCGATCAGAGGTTGTTCCTTTTTTAGAAAATGAGAAGGCCACTTGTCTAAATGGTGGTAGTGGGCTATGGGCTTTAACAACTTCTCAAAAAATGCCGTGTCTAAATTTGAAAAAGCCACATGTTTGAATGACCCTGTTCTAAGTACGGGAATCAGTAATTTTAAATTTACATTATGGAGTCAATAATGTTAAATTTATATTTATTAATATTTTAAATAATTATTAAAATTTGAAAAAATATTTATTTCAAAAAATAACTTTCCAATAATTATTAGAATATGGATAGTTTTCTTTTGTTATGATATGTAGAGGGTTAATGATTAATTGAGATTGATAGAATGTAAGCAGAAGTGGTTGTTGGTAACCACCTTTTGCATTTTCTGCATTTTTTTAGGAATTGATTGAAAATGTTGGTAGGGTTGTAGGCTTTAGCAGCAACATCTCAAAAAATGCCATGTGTCTAGCTTTCAGAAAAATGAGAAGACCATATGTCTAAATGGTGGGGGGTTGTAGCCTCGTAGTGGGTTGTGGGTTTTAATAGGAATTTTTCAAAAAATTGCCACATCTAGCTTTCTAGAAAATGAGAAGGACACTTGTTTGAATGTTGGTAGTGGGTTGTGGGCTTTTACAGCAACTTCTCATACAATGCCATGTGTCTAAATTTGAAAAAGCCACATGTCTGAATGGTGGGTGACTATAGCCTAAAAACCTTATATATATTAGATTTGCTCTTTCTTTACTTTAAATAATTGTTTATTTGTGCTTTGAGTTCCCATGTGGGCGTTACCTATTAGACCTGAGAGAAGGGGTTGAGATCACATCTCTGCCCCACTGCCTGTCGCCCCACACAACGTGCAACTGCCACATGCCCAGTCGCACGTGGTGGGGTGTTCCTACGTGCAGGGCTAACGGGATAGCCGTTAACCCCAAAACGAGCTCTAACCTCCTTTCTCCCATATTCTCGCCCCCTCAACCTCAAATCAATGTTTTAAAAAACAACTCGGAAATAGAACTGTTTTAGCCATCGTTTTCTATGTCGACAGTCCAATAGTTCGATTTGAACAAAAGGGTTGCTCTGACAAATAAATTAAAAAAATAAAAAATGGTCAAAATCCATTGAACGGGTCGACCGCCCAGGTCAACGGAACCAGTTGCCTAGACAGTTCCTGGGCCGAATAGTCCGACCGTCTGGGTCAATAGCGGTTCAGTAATCTTGCCTTAAATCGTGTCTTGACCCCATTCTACTTCCCTCCGCCCAAGTTCAGATCAAGCTCCATTTCCGGCAACAGTGATCGCTCCAACCAGTTCATCGTTACCATGTACACCCCAACCCTCGCTAGTGCCAGAGATGGAGTTGGTTCCAAGCTTGGGTGGAGGAGAGTAGAACGGTGTCAGACATGATTTGAGGTTCAGGGGGCAGGAATAGGGAAGCAAGGTTTTCGAACTGCCATTGACCTAAACGGTCAGACCATTCAACCCGGGAACCATCAAGGCAACAAGTTCCATTTTACCCCAAACCCGGTATTTAGCCAAAAACCGCTAAAAAAGTCAACAACCCGTTGACCCGAACAATCAAACCATTTAATGATTTTTTACCAATTTTTACTTTTAATTATTTTTTCAATTTATTTATCAAAATTGGCCATCCATTCAAACTGGACGGTTGGACCGTCAACTTGGAAACCGGTGGCCAAATCAATTTTGTTTTCAGGTCGTTTTTTATAATGTTGTACGAGAGAAAAGAAGTTTGGGCTCGTTGGCTCGTTCCTTTAGCCCCACACGTGGGAACGGCCCACCCCACCGCGTGTGACTGGACATGTGGCAGTCGCATGTTGTGTGGCGACAGGTGATGGGGCGAAGATGCCAACTCGAAGGGGTTAGGCAAATAGGCACCCTTCTGTCATTGAGCCTTACCTATTGGACCCATCCCCACCTCCCATGTTCTATCATCGCCGTTGCAACTAGGTGCAGTGACCGATTAGATCGACTCTTCACTCCCAAACTCTTAGCAACTTCCTTTGATAACCCCACCATTTTCATCGTCCCTTACTAAATCCCTCCTTACTATCTCTCCTTTTCCCTTCTCAGAACCCCCAACCGAACACATGTCACCTGCATTCTCTCATCCCTTCGTCATCATCATTGATCGAACAAAGTTGGTCATAGTAGCAAAGTTCAATCTTGGAAGTTAGTTTCCTTTCCACCAAACTGTCGTTCACATCGTCGATCATTGCCATTTGCAATCGATAACCACTGGCTAAAACAAATCGGGATCAACCTTGTTCCTCTTTGTGTTGTTTGCAACTTGGTGTATCGTCTGCAAATCTGTGACTAATCAAGATCTACCCTATCTCCTTCCACCAAGCCCAAGTTTGCAACTTGGTGTATCGTCTCCGTCTCCCTCTCAACTTTAAAGTGGTCTACGTCCAGAACAGCCTCTGATCGCAACAGACTCTAGTTTCCCCATTAAGGCGGAAATCCCCTTAGGTGAATACTATTTACGCTTTTTTTTTTTTTAAGTTTGTATGTCCTCTTGTTTCATGTGGCTTTTTCAAATTTAGACACATGGCATTTTATGAGAAGTTGCTATTAAAGCCCATAGCCCACTATCCAATCCGCAAAGGATGAAAAATGAGGTGAAACAAGAGGACATACAAACTAAAAAAATAAAAAAAAAAAACAACGTAAATAGTACTCACCTAAGGGGATTTCTGCCTTAGTGGGGAGACTAGAGTCTGTTGCAATCAGAGGCTGTTCTGGACGTAAACCACTTTAAAGTTGAGAGAGAGACGGAGACGATACGCCAAGTTGCAAACTTGGGCTTGGTGGAAGGAGCTCGGGTAGATCTTGATTAGTCACAGATTTGC